AAATACCAGGGCATGGTGACATGGGCCTATGGTTCCGGCTACTTGGAAAGCTGAAGGGGGTAGATTGCTTGAGCCCAGGGGACAAAGTTTGCGATGAGCCGAGATCACGCCACTGCACTCCAGCCTGGGTGACAGAGTGAATCCCCGTCAATGAAAAAAAAAAAAAGAAAGAAAGAAAACACAGGAGAAGGTAAAGGAATCAAAGAGACACAATGGAGAAAAAGAACTAGGAGATGAGCCTCAGCACACTGTTGCTGCTGTGAAGATGGAGGAGGGGATCTGGGAGCCAGGGTGTGGTAGCCTCTAGAAGTGAGCACAGCACTTAGCTGTCAACCATGAAACAACTGGGACCTCAGGCCTATAAATGAAAGGAACTGCTTCTGCCAACAATCCGAATAAGCAAGGAAACAGATTCCTCCTTAGACACTCCAGAAACGAATCTAGCCTGCAGCCACCTTGATTTTAGCCTGGTGAGATCCCTGTGGGACTTCTCACATACAGAACTGTGAGATCATAAATTTGTGTTGCTTTAAGTCTATGAATTTATGGTAATTCAGATGGCAGCAATAGAAAATGCAAAAGGTTTCTGTGAAAATGCTGCAGTGAGGTAAACTGAAACTGGTGAGTACAGTGAGTGTGTAGCCTACTCTACTGCGTTGTGTAGATACCAGAATTCAGTCGATACTGTGTTGAGTAGATACCAGAGTCTAGAAAAAGCCAAGATGAAGAGTAAGCATTATTAACAAATTTATTGATCAAGACTTGACAAGCACATGCCACATAGAGGGGATACAGTGGGGAGCAATAGTAGTCATGATAATGAGGAGCAGTTTCCCTAGGAGGCAACAGTTGAAAGGAATATGGGTTTAACACCAACCAATGACGAGGGGTGGACAGACCCCTTTCCAGGAGAGCGAGTCCACAGCAGGATTAAAGACATCCCTGTAGTTCTAGTTTCCTTCATCTACATTTCCTGCATCACAGAGAATCTTTAGGGTATTTGCTCTGCCTGGAAACCCTGACTGCAGGAAGCCTGGCTCTGGCTACATGGTCACTCAGCACAGTCGTTGGGTCGGCACACCTGTGCGCCATTATTTGAGTGTGGCCTCAAGTCTTCCAAGTCACGTGTCACGTGGGTACCGTGAGGTTATTCTCTCAACCAAGACACTCAGCAGAGCTAATCCAAGGAGTGCTGGGTCTAAGGCTCTGACCATCAGCTGGGAAGGAGTCAATAGGGGTGTCAACCCACAACCACCTATAGTGATCCCCACCCTGGAGCTGTCCTGGGAAGGGAACCTCAGGGCTACAGGTGGGTTCTTCCCATGGGGGAAGAATCAGGCTGGAAAAGAATGGGCAAGTGGCCAGGGACTGAGGCTGAACGTCTTCCAACTGCACAAATTACTGTATGAGTTATGTAAGTTGCTTAATGTCACCCTGCCTCAGCTTCCATACATGCAAAATGAGACTACCTGACAGAGTGCTGTGAGGATTAAAGGAGTAACAGCCACCAAAGCTCATAACACGGCAGTCAGAACGTTTAAAATTCTCTACTAATGTTAGTCATTGATGAATAGATCCCAGCTCTGTTGTTCACTAGTCATGTCTACTTTGTAACGTGAATTCACTTTTCTGCACCCCAGTTTCCTTATCTGTATAAGGGGACAATAAGTGGTACCAAACCCAAACAACTATCGTACGAATAATTGAATGAGTATCATCAGTAAAGTGCTTCAGTGTATGTCTGCAGTCTTATGCCTCTGCTTGGTTGCTGTGAAGGGGGAGGCTGTCAGCTCCAGGCTGGGCAGGGAGAAGCAGGGATGTTACTTCGGCCTGAGGCTCCCCACTTTGGTTAGCTAAGCCCGGGGCCACTGGTGTCTCTAGAGGATGATCAGATGCAACTAGGTCGGGATCCGGGGAACTCTCTACTCCTTTTGGCGCTGGGCAAATGGTCAGGGCAGTGGGTTCCAAGGTCAAAATTCTGAAAACAGGATACAGAGGCTCAGAGAAGGAGGTGTGCGGGAAGGTGTAGATATGAGATCCGTCCACCGCATTGTAGAATGAGACATCTCCAGTCTCATAGTCCAGGAAGACCCCCACTTTCCTAGGGGACTCAGGAAGTGTCAGGTTGGTTCTGGGCTCAGTGAGAGCCCGATACTTATTCCCATCAGTCAGTCCCATAGTCCAGTATCCGTTCTCAGGTGTCATTTTGACCCAACCTTTTTTCCTCTCCACGTTCTTACTGCACACCCCAATATGCCACTCTTTCCTGTCCCCCACCTCCACCTCCCAGTAATGTCTCCCTGAGGTGAAGCTTCCACAGCCGAGAACACAGTAACGCCACTCAAATCTCTCGGGGTTGTCTGGAATATCCCGGGGCTCCTCAGCACGCTGCACAGTCCTCTGGTCCTCAGAAACAAGGAGGATGGGGTTTGCCGTGTCTGGATCCAGAATCACATCCGCTGCAGGGAGTTTGAGGAAGTGTCCACGGGTCAGCCATTTTTCCTAGATTTCAGAGCCTCAGCGTGCAAGACCTGTGCCATGAGTCCTCCTGGACTCAGAGGAGGCCTGAGTCCAGAGCCTGGTGTCCCTAGCCTGCCCTGAATGTGATTTTCTCATCAATGTCATGGGAGAAAGCCCCAGGGGTCTTGTGTTCAGAGGAAAAATGAAAGTAAGGTCAGTACCTGCCTAATCCAACACCCTGACGCAGCCTCAGGAAGCAACAAGTCTCTTCTTTCTATGCTTTAAGAAAATTAACTCTGCCCACGAATGCTTTGTACTGAGAGGTTAATTTTCAGTCTCTACCACGTATGAGCTAAATGAGTTCCCCTTTTCTGCAGTCTATTTTTCCATATATCCTATTTATTTAACAAGGTGGAGCCTCATCTGAAGCATTTCCTCATCCAAAAAATGGGGATAAAAATACAAATCTCTAGCATTGTACAAGGTAATCATGTGACTTACTCAGCCCACAGCAAAGCATGAAGGACGTTCCTGAAGTTCTAGTAGCTGCAAGGCCGGGTCTGTGCTGGGCTCTATGCGGGGCTTAGATGCCCCAGGTTCACTCTCCACCCTGCAGCTTTCCCCACCCTCTTCTGGGCCCCAAGAATCTGTTCTCTAAGGACAGCGCCACTGGGCTCCCTTGTCCTCTGGTTTGCTGTTGGGTTTGGCCAATGAGAGGCCCTGGTAGAAGACTGGAAGGAGAAGGAGAGGAGAGACTCACTGTTTACCTCCCTGCTTCCTCCCTGCCAGCAGCAGCTGGTGCTGCGCTAACAAGGCCTGACTCTTCTCAGGAAGCCCTCTCTTTGAGCTACCTCTTTCTCTGGGTTCCAGTTCCCTATCCCTCTCAGGCTGGGGGTGGAGACAGCTCCCCACTCTTGGGAACCATGGGGCACTGCACTTTTCCTTGTTGTTTTCCCTTAACCCTCCTTTCCACAAACCTTCAACCGCTCGGTTTGAACTCGCCATCTCTTTCTTACTAGGTTTTTGTCCAATGCATGTTTATTATTCCTTCAGTCTTCACCTCAACTCCCTCAAAACACGGATTGCAATCATCATCTAAAAATGTGGAGGCCGAAGCCGGGAAGCATTAAATCCTTCGAGGAGACACAGGCAGCAGGCGGCGTGAGATGCCTGGGAAGGGCAAAGTTCTAAGGCCGGCATGGCCTCCTCTGCTTGCATTTCCACCCTCACTGTCCCTGCAGTATTACTCAATGTGTGTCTCCTTCCCCTCAGCTCCACTCTTTATGCGTCTTCCTTCCCAGGAAGGTGTGAGGAAGCCCAAGAGAGCAATTCTCCCTGGTTCCCTGGCTCTCATCAGGAAGGGCCTTGGTTACGGGCCCTCTTTTCAGATTGGGATTTAATGTTGCCCACCCCAAACTCTGCTAGTCAAGGGAAATTTTCTTCCCCAAATCACAAGAGTTGGAGGAGGAAAAAGGAATATGTTCCCTCAGGTTGTTGGTCCAGGGAACATACAGTGATTGACTCACCAGGCTTGAAGAGGGCCATTTTCCATTCTGAAAGGAAACACAGAAAAGAAAAAATCAGTATTTTTGTACTTTTTCCCACTCCATTCACTACATGTTTTCTCTCCTTTTCTTCAGAGTCTCTTCCAGGGTCCAGCTTCCCTCCTCTACAGCTCTGATGGATCAGGGGTGGCACCTTCTCAAAATGGCAGGCTCTGTTACTCCGTCACGAGGGGAACAGACCGCAAGGCCAGGCTTCACCTGGGTGTGTTCAGGGTCAGGAGTCTCTTAGATCTCTAGAAGAGCAGAAGCTGACCCCCCACCATGCAAAATTGAATCTTTGGATTAGATATGATTAATAGAACTGAGATCGTCAATGGGCCACAGCAGAGAAAAGGTGGAAATGTTCATGGCACGTGACCCAGCAAACTTACAGAGCATCAGGCTCACTTACCATGATAGGCTAAAGACTTCTCTCCCCCTACAATGAAAGAAAGATAGAGATGTCATCTAAACTCTGCCTTTTCTGTGTTGGCCCCTTCTTGTTCCTTTCACATCCATCTAGCCTTTCTTTTGACCATCCCACCCTTCCCACCCTACCCTGTGGTCTCACTCTGCAGGTTCAATCTCTCTACGCCTTCTGCTTAATATCAAGTCTAGGAACATCGGTTGAATGCTAGTGGCAGCGCAGGCACTGTGAGAGTTCCTTCCCAGTGGAGTCCAGCTCATCTATTTTGAATCTCATCTATACTCTTGTACCTGGGCATAGGTGTCACCGTGTCTATATGTGTATGTATAAGAGTACAAGGTCCATCCTTCTCAATCTGTATCATTTCCTACTTTGCTCCAAAAAGAATTTGGGAAATTTAATGAGCAATTTTAGGGACTAGTTTTTTGAAAGCGGTTATGATAAATCAGTACCAACTGAACCACTGCAGCTACTCCTATTTATTAGACACACTTTTCTTCCTCTCTCTTTTCTGATTTTCTTATTTCTTAAATCTTCCATTCTTGTTTTCCTTTCCACATCCTCTAGATTATGGAAAACAAGTAAGGTTTTCCTGCCATAGAAAATGCACCTCATCCTTCTCTTCGCTCTTCATTTTGAAGTGTACCCCTGGATATTCCTCAGTGCTTTTTAGGGCATAAAGGTCTGTAGCCTCTAGTACAAAGAGATTGAAGACCTCTTTTTTTTTTTTTTCCAAGAGAGAGATGGGGGGGAGGGGGGGGAGAGAGAGAGAGAGAGAGAGAGACAGAAAGAGAGAGAGAGAGAGAGAAAGACTCCTTCTGAAGGGTTTCTCCAAAGAGTAACACTTATTTTCTTTTCCTAAGTAAAGGGATCCAGGACCACTTTCAACCCTGGGCAAAAACTTTCGGGCTCGAATATTTCCAGGCAGAGAGAGTCACAGATTTAAATTCAGAGAAAATGTCAAAGCTACTCACGAGCCAGGTACCGGATTTTTCTCCACTCTGCAATGGAATGAACAGGGAAGAGTCATCAAGGTGCTCAGTGTGGGGACAGGAAGACATGCCTGGGTGTCTGGGGGAATGGAAACTTACTGAGTTCCTCCCGGAGCGCCTCTGGAAAATAAGCAAAAAAAGAAGAAAAAAAAAAAAAAGAACTGTTATGGGTGAGGGGGGTTTCGGGAAAACAAACCTTAAACATGAACCAGGGTGGGGACAGGGGTGAGAGCTTCAGGCTGGGGCACGCAAGCCAGGGGCTCAGATTCTCTGCTCGAGTTGGATACCTCTAATGCTTATTTGCTGCTTTGTTCCGGCATATCCCAGTTCTTTCATCTCTCGCTCTCTTTCTGTCTCCCTGGACAGCGCAATTATTTCCTTCTGCTGTCGCCACAAGAAGAAACTGGCTCCTGCGAGAAGCAGCAGCGAGATAGGGAGGGTCCCTGCCAGGGCTGCGATCCAGGGCTGGGCGCTCCAGAAGAACGGGTCTGTGAAAGGAGGAGCTGTGGTCAGGGGCACCAGGTGCACTCAGCCTCCCCAGCCTGCACCGCCCCAAACTTTAGCTGCTCAGCCCAGGTCAGGGGCGTGAAATCTATCTTGCGAGGTTTGTAAGTGTTCTCTCTCTAAAGTCTCAGAGGACTATAGGGAAGACTTTGGTAGACCCTCACTGCGAGCTGCTACTATTACTTATCTCGAGATGTCTGCCTCTCACATGGGAAGTACCTTGAGCAGAGTCATACACATTTGTTTCTAAGTATTTTTTCAATAGGTGACACATATACATGGTTCCAAAACTATATCTACATAAAGTCATGCAACTCTTCCATCCACCCAGTCCTCCCTCCCTCTACTTTTTAACTTCTTAGTCCACTTAATATGATGCTTAGAAACATAAACTGTGGAGTCAGAGGACACAGCTTTCAGTGCTGGCTCCTTCATGTGTCTAGCAGTGTGGTGCTGGACTACTTACATAACCTCTCTGTTTGGAGTGGCCTGATCTATAAAATGAGCATAATGAGAATACCTATTTCCTAAGATTAGAAGAATTAAATTAATACTTAAAAGTCCCTCATGAGCTGGGTGCAGTGGCTCACGCCTGTAATCCCAGCACTTTGGGAAGCTGAGGTGGGCAGATCACATGAGGTCAGGAGTTCTGAGACCAGCCTGGCCAACATGGTAAAACCCCATCTCTACTAAAATTACAAAAATTAGCTGGGCGTGGTGGCATGCGGCTATAATCCCAACTACCTGGGAGGCTGAGGCTCAGAGGTTGCAGTGAGACAAGATTGTGCCACTGCACTCCAGCCTGGGTGACAAAGTGAGACTTGGTCTCTAAATAAATAAATAAATAATAAAGTGCCTGATGCACAGTGAGTGTTACAAAATTGCTTGTTAAATTTTAAAAGTGTAAATTAACATAATCGAGAACTAAACAAAAAAGTAAATTAAAATATATTCCTATTTTTCTTCTTGTTTAAACTAAAAATAACATTCTATACACATCACTCTGTATCTTGCTCTTTCTGTGTAAAGTGTATCTCAGAGATATTTCCATATTAGTATAGAGAGAATTATCTCTTTTTTCTTTCACAACTGGGTGGTATTCCCTTGTATAGGAGTTCACCATCAGTGAGCATCTGCATAGTTTCTAATGTTGTACAATCATAATTAATGCTATAAGAAACTTTTCACAGGCTGGGCATGGTGACTCACACTTGCAATCCCAGCACTTTGGAAGGCTGAGAGAAGTGGATCACTTGAGGTCAGGAGTTTGAGACCAGCCTGGCCAACATGGTGAAACCACATCTCTAGTAAATATATAAAAATTAGCAGGAGTGATGGCATACTTATAATCTCAGCTACTGGGGAGGCTGAGGCAGGAGGATCTCTTGAATGCAGGAGGAGGAGGTTGCAGTGAGCTGAGATTGCGCCATCACACTCCAGCCTGGGCAACAGAGTGAGACTCCCTCTCAAAACAAAGAAACAAACAAAAAACTCAGAAACTCTTTTCATGGATCATTTCATACAAATTACCAGCTTACCTATCAGCTAAATTTCCACAACTGGAATTTTGGATCAATAAATACGTAGTTTGGATAGATTCCCCCAACAGAGGTTGTGCTAATGCGCACCAAAAATAGAAGTGACGTGAGCAAACGCCAGAGTCACCGCCTTCCTACACTCCTGCCACAGCCATGTGTTATCAACCAGGCAGTTTTGTTTTGATTTTTGCCAGTACCATAAGTGAAAAATGATTTCATATGTTTCCCTAATAAGTGAGAATGAGCATCCTTTTGTGGGTTATTTCCTTTTCTGTGAATGAATAATTAATGACCTTTGTTAAATTGTTTTACTCAGTTTTAAAAATCTTTGGTTTCAAGGAGATCACCTCTTTATGAGTTTATAAATATACATATGTTTTCCCATTTTGACGTTTGACTTTACATAAGAAGCTTATATTAACGTTTTTCCCCCAATTCCCATTGCCTGTCATACTTTCTGGCAGACAGGAAATGTTCAGTAAATGTTTGTGTCATGAACAGCTTTGTGGAGGAGGGAAGCTCCCCTGGAGCAGGCAGGAGCCTCCAGGTCCCTGCTTTGGGCCTTACATGCAGTGCAGAGACCCAGGTCGACTCCAGAGACTCACACAGTAGAAACTCACAAATCCCCCTTCATTCAACTGCCACAGCTCAGCTCACTAAAGCTGAGGCCAAGCAGGCACTAACCTGCGATGGAAATACTGGCTGTCTTTTCCAGGCCGAGGAGGGAATTTCTGATGATGCAGGACACCTGCTCCGCAGAACTGCCTCTCATGGTCACGGATCCTGCTACTGAATATAGACCCGCTCCGTCCGCAACCACGGGTGCTTCCACTTCCACAGCTGGGATGTTCTCTCCCTTGGCGTCGCTCCATTGTATTTCGGGCTCGGGGTACCAGCCAGTGGACCGGCACTCCAGATGGATCCCTCCAGCTTCATAACCCTTCAAGTCAATGTGAAGATCAGAACCCAGTGCTGTGGAAGGATAAATCAGCCTAAATTCTGGAGANCAGTGCTGTGGAAGGATAAATCAGCCTAAATTCTGGAGAGCTCCTGTATCAGGGAGGGTCTTGATGGGAATCAATGGCAGACTCAGATCTGGTAATTCAAGGAAGATTTCATTCAGGAGCTGTTTTCAAAAGTGTGGTCATGATGAGGGGAAAACTAAATGGGATAGCGCTATAGCCCAGGGTCAGTAACAGTAGGGCTATTCCCACCGATCCCAATTACCACAGGGAGGAAGAAGGGGAGATGTTTTGGAGACATAAAAGAAGAGACTTGGCCAGGCACAGTGGCTCATGCCTATAATCCCAGCACTTCGGGAGGCTGAGGCGGGCAGATCACGAGGTCGGGAGATCCAGACCACACCGGCCAACATGGTGAAACCCGATCTCTACTAAACATACAAAAATTGGCTGAGCGTGGTGGCACATGCCTGTAATCCCAGCTACTTTGGAGGCTGAGGCAGGGGACTCGCTTGAACCAGGGAGTCGGAGGTTGCAGTGAGCCAAGATCACGCCATCGCACTCCAGCCTGGCAACAGAGCGAGACTCTGTCTCAAAAAAGAAAAAAAAGAGAAGAGATTCAATCATTGAGGACTTTTTTGAGAGGAGTTGTGACCTTTGGCAAGTCAATGCAGCCAGCCTGAGGGTACCTTGCAGGAAGGAAGCCAGGGAATAAGCACCCAGGCCTCTCTTTTTCTCTTCCTCCTGCCTTTGTCTGCTACAGCTTCCCTTAAACCAAACCCATACAGAAGCCACAGAGCAAGGGATTACACTGAGAAAGGAAAAGCTGTCCCCAGCATCTGGAACCTGACACCATGTCTTGTTAGCCTCCTATGAACATAAGCAATATCACAGAACACAGACAATAGTACTTTGTCACTGAGACAGATCATGGGAAAAACAAGACCACCCACATCATGCATGAGTGCAGAGGAAAACATGAACATTGTCCAAACCACAGCGACGACCAAACATCCCCAGCGGCAGTGAGGAACTGCTGCCCCTTCATCAATTGCAGCTTTAGTCTCACCCTAGTCTCCTTCCTCCTAGATAAGATTGATTAAGGCTCCCACTCACAGAATTAACCTGCCATGCCTTCCTGATGGCATCTCATCCAGAGCGGAGGACTAAGTCTATAAACCCTCCCCCAGGTCCCCTAACATGAGCCCAATTGTATACTAAGTCTGCTCTAACACCTTCTTACTGAGACCCCGCCACAGCTCCCTGTGATGTGTGTTCTTCCTCAATGCAACGAGTGAGAAATATATCGACCAGGCACAGTGGCTCACGCCTGTAATCCCAGCACTTTGGGAAGCCTAGGTGTGCGAACCATAAGGTCAGGAGTTTGAGACCAGCCTGACCAACATGGTGAAACCCCATCTCTACTAAAAATTCAAAAATTAGCCAGGCGTGGTGGCACACGCCTGCAATCCCAGCTACTCGGGAGGCTGAGGCAGGAGAATTGCTTGAACCTCAGAGGCAGAGGCTGCAGCGAGCTGAGATCACACCATTGTACTCCAGCCTGGGTGACAGAGCAAGACTCCATCTCAAAAGAAAAAATAAATAAATAAAAGGAAAAAGAAACGGTTTGTTTTACTCTAGGAATATTCTTGTGGGTGACTGACTGGAAAACACTGGCAGCAGATGCAGTCCCTATGGTACCTCCCAGGCCCATGGTACTGTGCACTTGGTGACACAATAGGAGCTGTCTGTTACTCAATTAGACCAAAATGACTGTGTACCAGTCACTGACACAACGATTTCTTATGCTTCCTATCCCTCCTCCTTCATGTCCCTAATGTCTCTGGTGGCCAGAGGAAGGGAGTTCTTTACTTGAGCATGTAGGGCACAGCAGGAATTCTTCCTAAAGGAGAACCTGTGTCCTACTCAAGGGGCTCAGAGAGGCTAAGTTGGAAGGCAGCACAGGCAATTGCTAGTGAGCAGCCAGGGGTGTCTGCAGTGCTTCTGGAAGAGGAACTCGGAATCTGTTCTAGATCCTACGGAGAAATGTTCTCAGAAGAAAACCCAGAGGCTCACCTGCAACCTTCAGCTCCACCAGGGCTTTTTCATAGAAGTCACCGTCTTGGAAATAACACAAGTACTTTCCACTGTCAGAGGCTGTGACGTTGTGTATTCGGAGAGCAGCCTTCCCTGCAGCGATGCCATCCCGGAGAATCGAAGTTCTCCCTCGATGCTCTGTGCTCTGCCTGTCTTCCACTTCCTTTCCATCTGCATACACACTCACCACCTGCCTGAGGCTGGAACTCACCCACCTCAGCTCCATGGTCTCTGCACTCCTGGTCGGGACCAGGTGACAGGGCAGATCAGCGTCTTCACCCACCATGGCCAGGATGGGCCCAGGGGGTCCAAGCACAGCAAACTGAGCTGTCGGCAGAAGGGAGGCTCCGTCAGAGGGTGCTGCGGTTGGGGTCATGAGAGGAAGTGTGCTTCTCCGACAGGGCAGGTGAGATACAGAGACCCTAGAGGGGAACACGATCCTAACAGAAGCACCATTTGTCTCTTAGTGACATATGAACCCTCAGGTTGGCATGGACTTCAGGTATGGGAAGGACTCAAAAGTCCTATGAGAACACTAATAGGTAACTGTCTACTTCAGAAACATAAATGTGAAATCGTTTCCTACCTGAGCAAGGAGTGAGCAGCTGGACCAAGAGGAGGCAGACATGAAAGCTGAGCAGAAGAAAGGCCAGGGAACTTGCCATTTCCATCCGTGCTGCGTATCAGGAGACACCAGCCGGTGTGGGTCAGACACTATGATCTGGAAGAAGCTATGGAATTCTTCATGGAAACCTCCACTTCCCCACAGCTAATCAAATATGGTGACTGAAGAAAATCTTACCTCTGCAAAAGATTTCTGTCCTTGAGTGTCTTTACCTTTGAGTTCCAACATGGAAAATCACCTGTAAAACCATGTCTATGTAAAATGCACATCTGTTATCTGATCAGGACATCCTCACTCTACTGTTTGAAAATATTCAGAATCCTATCGCTTCCCCAAACTTTCCCTGCCTGTCCAACCCTCTGTCATCCCCCTTTTGTTTCTTGCGGGCCCTTTTTCCTTGGGTTCCTTGTTTCTGCTTGGTCCACCACCGTGGGTGTCCAACACTATGGACTCCTCAAAGCCTCAGCTCTTGGCCATTATCTTGGTTAACTCGTGGCCCAGTGGACTCCTGGTGGGATTCAGGAAGACTGCCTGGTGGGGCCTTGCAGTCAGTGAGGGGCTGAACCTACCACATTTAATCCAAGGCTAGTGATCAGAGAGCTGCAAATAAGACCAGGCCTTACTTCTTTCTTCCCTTCATAAAGTCATTCAACAAATATTTACTGAGTACCCACAAGGGGCCAGGCTCATGATATTAGGGTTAGGGACACAAAGAGGGTAAGCAGTAAGTAAAGGCACTCAGATTCACAAGTTATTTGCTCTCGGTCATGGGACAAAACCACTGGAACTTATTTACTCATACAATATCATGAAATGTGAAATTTAGAATGTGCACAATTGGCCCAGAAATTCCACTTTCTGATGTTTAGTCTAGCAAAGTACTTGCATGGGTGCAGGGAGAAGCCTCTGTGTGAATGACACTGCAGCACTATTTTTAATATAAAAGTGGTAACCAACTGAGCCAGCCACCCAGCAGAAACTGCTTAGAGGAATGACGACTCATCCCTCAGAGGGAATTCAGTGCAGCGGGTAAAAAGAGTTGATTTATTGTCATGAGCCTGGATAATGAAGATACACTAAGTGATCAAAAAGCAACTTGCAGAACTATACTAATGATTCAGTTGAAAAACAAAAGCAAAGCTGTACATTTCTGCATAATCACAGATGCAAATGCCTAAAAAAGTCTAAAAAGATGCATGCTAAACTGCCGACCGGACGTTAGTGAGTGAAAGGACACTTTGGCGGCCTTTTGCTCCCTATACTTTTAAAATATTCAAATGCTTTAAATTTAAATATTTTCATGTATTACTTAACAGTAATTATTATGTGATAATACTGACTGGAGCATATAAGCTGCTCAGTAAATACTAACTCCTCAACCGTTTCTCCCAAAACAAAGGAGCTTGAGGCCTGCAGCCGTAACACCTGCTGCTGTGGGTCTGGGGATGGCCTCTGAGAACAAGGGCTGCAGAGGGAGGAGGGGCGGGAGGAACAGGAAGCAAGGGAACAGGGTTCTGTGCAGTGGCCGTCCCCACCCCTGCCTGGATCTTGCACCCACCCAGACTAAACATTGCATTTCACGTCTTCTGCTCCTCAAAGCTGCTCTTTATGCTCCTAGAGAAGAAGGGTATTATTATTATTAGCCTCTAAGCTAAAAATTTCTCTGTTGTCCTCAGAGGGAGAACTTTTCATTTATTTTTTAGGTTATTTATTATTCATTTTTTCTACTATAGACAATTTTGGCAATGAAAAAATATGTAAAGGAATAAAACTTAAATACTCTGTAGGTATAATCATATACTTTGCTAGTAGAAGTGGAAATGTTTCTGGAAGCATTTTGGCCACATACACATGGCAAGGGCCTTTAAAATATATCGTTTGCCCCCAAAATTCTAATTGCAAAAGTTAGTGTTGAAGAAAAAAATTTAGAGATTGATGCAAGTATTTATGGTTAAGGCTATTCAATCTAGTAAAATCTGCAGTAACAAAATATAGAAACAGAAATATCCAAAATAAAGAGTTTAGAAAATAATTGTTTTTTGTTTGTTTGTTTGTTCTTTTTCTTCTTTAGGGATGGCTTTCTGAGCCAGAGTAGGCTCAGAGAGACTCCCACTAATTACATATTCATACAATGTAGTAGTTTGTATCCATGGGAAAGCATGCTTTAGGTTTTGCGGAAAGGATTAATGGAAAGATAACTAGACACTATCCCTAAAAGATACCCAAAAGTGTTTAATGTAAGGACCTAGTATTATTAAAATTATAAATAATCTCACTTAATTAAAATTATGATTCCTAATGGCTACATGGAACACGTTTTATGACTGAATCATGCATTGTTTGTCTATTCCCCACCTGTTGTGTATGTATGTTCGTTCAGATTTTACTAAATTATAAATACTTCTGTAATAAACACATTTACATATAAATCTATAAGGCACATCTTTTTTTTCTTCTTCTTCAGAATCTCTTAGAATAGATGCCTTGAGCTGGTCGGGATGGCTCACGTAATCCCAGCACTTTGGGAGGCTGAAGCGGGTGGATCACCTGAGTTCGGGAGTTCGAGATCAGCCTGACCAACATGGAGAAACCCCTGTCTCTACTAAAAATACAAAATTAGCCAGGCGTGATGGCACAGGCCTGTCATCCCAGCTACTCCGGAGGCTGAGGCAGGAGAATTACTTGAACCTGGGAGGCAGAGGTTTTAGTGAGCTAAGATTGCATCACTTCACTCCAGCCTGGGCAACAAGAGTGAAACTCCACCTCAAAAAAAAAAAAAAAAAAAAAAAGCAGAACAGATTTTAAGTCTTTTTTTTTCTTTTTGCCCTTTTCTGACCACAATACATTAAAAACATGCAGTTGGAATATTTCTTCATTCATGCTGTCTTCCTCTCCTTCCACTAAATCCCAATCTCTGCAGGTCCTTATTCTTTGCAATACTTCTGTCTTCCCACATGCCCATATGTGCATTTGCTGCTGTGCACATGTACACACACACACACACACACACACACAGAGGCTCCGCACCCCTTTCTCTGGGCTGAGCACTACACACACACACACACACACACGCAGACACCCCACAAGCAACGCACCCCTTTCTCTGGGCCGAGTACTCTCCCTGCATGCCTACTCGTAACTCTCAGCAATTCAGCACCTGTCCTCCCAGGCATTGTGGCCCAGGCTCCAATCAACATCCACCACTTACCTCTTGGCATTCTCCTCTGAAAATCACAGCCCACTGAAGAAAGGCCGTTAATAGGTCTCCATTCTTTCTATTATGGTTGAGTCTCTCATTTGGAAGAAAGGAAAAAGGAGGCAGAGGCTGTCTGGTCACCATGAGGAAATGGAACAATCTGTTTCTGGAAGTTAGTTTTTTGATTGGCTCAGAGGTGATGTTTCTCATCAGTTGCTGGGCAGAAACCACTCAGGAAGGTTGAAATGAAAACTGAAAGTACATTGTACAGGTTGAAGAAAAATTCCAGCTTAGTGTTTGTGTTTGTCTGTGTTTATCTGTTTGAATCATTCTTGCGTGTACATGTATGTACGTATTTCTACATATTTACTTGTCTTAAGTCTTTTATCATAATAGAAATATCAGCAGAATAAAATGGGAAAAGCTTATAATGTGGTGAAGAGAGAAAGATGTGCACTAATTAAAATGCTATTGTAGCAGTCTGTTAACATTTGCTTGCATGAATGTGGGTACATGAAGGACAAGCATATTTTACCACAGTGTCAAATAAATGTATAAATGGAAAGAAAACCAGATACGACGCACATTTTTAAGCACCTCCAGCATCCAGGCTCAGGATCTGTTACCAAATAATAAAATTTTTCTGGTTTCCAGAGGCAGTGCTGCTTGACACGTTTTACCCTTTTCAGGACATTTTTAGTGCACGTGATTCTGAGCATCTTCATTCGTCCTCAGGTGCTGGTTTGTGCTATACTGCATTTTCCTGTGTATTTCTTTTTCGTGCTGCCAGTGGAGTATATATTCTCTGAAGCTGGACTCTAGACATACTGTGAATGCCATCTCTGTAAGAGGTCTGTGGGACAAACTGGTTCTTCCTGTGGCCTAGGGTCACAAAACACTTTTGGATTTGCAAGTCAGTGATCAAAGCTCCTAAGGCTAAGATGTGACTGGGCTGATGGAATTTGATTATATCGTAAGAGCTTGAATTTAGGCTGTGTGGTATCTTGTTGAGAAGGATGGTCATTTCTGCATCATGCATTCCCCCTTTCTTCTTGGTGATAAGGCCTAATTTTCTTGACTACTGCAAATTGCTCCTCTATCTTGTAGATACTGAGACCAAGGGACTAATTTGGAACCAATACTTTGTAAGTGAAAGTTGTGGGCTCGTGCTTCTCCCAGAGATCCTTTAAGAGGGAGGCCAAAATAGCTGGGAGTGTGAGGATACTCTTTATGTACTTCCTTCTTCCTCTTGCCTAGGATGTAGACTATTGAAATGGAGGTGCAGCAGTCTTCCTAGGATGATGAGGCTACCCTGAGGTTGGAAGCCGCATTCAGAGACAGCAGAGAATGAAGTCAGAAGCAGGCTGGGGCCTGAATGACACCTCTGAGCTGCCAGATCAGCCCTGGACTGTCACCATCTAAATTCATTTTACGAAACAAAATAAAACAAGAAAACCCTTGTTTTGTTTAAACCAGTGATATTTCTGGTCTCTGTTATGAGCAGAATAACACAAATTTTCCCTCCCCCCTTTTCCTTCCCAACATTTTATCATAAAACTTCTAAAACATAAAGCAAAGGTGAAAGAATTTTCAGGAATACCAATGTATCTACCATGTAGATTGTAGTGATACGGTTAATATTTTACTAAACTTTCTTTATTATAATCCATACTACTGTTCATTCCATATCTATCCATCATCCTTATTTAATCGTTCATTTATTTTTAAATTCATAGTCTATCAGTAGGTGTATGGCTTGAAATTGTATCAGTAAGAACAATCACCCCATCCTTACCTGCAGGATCCAAGTCACTTTGACACAGAGAAGCAGCTAAGGTGCTAAGCTTCAGATCAGGAGTTTCTGAGCCCAATACTTTGTATCTTTGAACTTTGTACTTTCCAAAGTATGAGGCTCCTGGGTCCATTTCTCATGCAGTCCGTTATACAGAACTCTGGGAAAGAAGTCTTGGGAAAGAAATGGATGGGAAATAGAAATGAATTCAGTGATTCAACAAATTTTTACTGAGAACCTATTATCTAGTAGGTCTCAGCTGCTAAAGTTCAAAATTAGTGAGGAGAGATTGCACAGTGAACTGGATAAGAGCACTAATTCTGAAGCCAGGTGGCCTGGGCCAGGTACCTACCATCTCTGTGCCCCAGTTTTCTATCTGTAAAATAAGGACAGTAACAGTATTTGACTTTTAGGGTTGCCATTGTGAGGATGGAATGATTAATACATGCAGTTTGTTTACAACAGTGTATCAAAGAGTAAGTCACAAGAATGTATGCTAAGTGCAAAGTGCACTTAGCCCTCCTTCAAGACCTAGGCACTTGATCCTATCTTCTGTTTTTCATAAGATCTAGTGCAGTGTCCTGCATGTAACAGGTGTGACAAATTGCCCAGAAATCTGTCTCCTTTATTTAGTCTCGTCAAGAAATATCCATTTATCATGGTTATCTTACCTCTTGTTGCCATCAGGAATGCTCATGAACACAAATTTTCTTTATGCTAAATCTGGCTATCTGTCAGCATGTCCCAGGCAAGCTGGCTCACTATCTACTGTCTCTAGGCTTTTTTTTCTATCTTCGTGTGTTGTCATCCACAACTCATTAGCCCTGGAACCGAAAGCCAGTTAACTAATTACTCAAAGCCTCTGTTTCTGTGTCTGCAGAATGGAAATGAGACTTGCTCTGTAAGTTACTTAAGGAAAAGTTAGCACAGCACCTGTATGTTTTAACCCTCAATGGATTTCACTGTCATCCATTCTGAAAGGCTCCATTCTGAGCCCTGCATTGATAGCTCCTAAATCCACCTGCCCTGAAGACAACATCCACCGAGGTGAGGAAACTGAGGGTAAAGTGGATTTTGGAGACCAGGAGAGGAGCCAGCATAGAACCCAAGGTCAGGTTTGGATATATTCAGGTTGAGGAGCTTACTAGAAATCGCTGTGGAGATGCAGAGTAGGCAGGACAATAATAAATGTGTGGGCCTGGCATGGTGGCTCATGCCTGTACAGTTTCTCAGGACCCAAACCTTGTGGTCATCCTTGATGCCTTCCTTTTTCACACCCCACATTTATCAGCAAAGCCTTTTTCTGTCTTGAAAATAAATCCAGCAACAGATTGTTCCATGGCTCCTCTCTGGTGCAAGTCATTGGCAGCTCCCCTCTGGATCAATGCAGTAGCTCCCAACAGGGTCTTCAGGTTTTCGGCCACCACCCCTACCACAGCCCATCTCGGTCTAGCATCTGAAGTCAGTCCAGTCCTTCTTCTGTCAAACCTTCCAGTGGCTCCCCTTTCAGAGGTAAAGCCCAGGTCAGCATGATGACCTTCACAGCCATATATGATCTGGCCCCCAACCCCAGAGGTCGAAAGAATCACTCTGGATTCTTTCAATAATGTGTCTATTTGTAACTGCAGTAATACAATTTTGGACTATTTAAAGTTTTTTCCGTCCTGTTGGATTATTGAATTGTCTCAAACGTAAAATACTACCATTAAAGCCGGACTTTTAGATGCCTGATTAATTAGGGTTCTCTAGAGAGACAAAACCAATATGATATAGATATATATATGTATGAACAGGCATTTATTAGGGAAATAGGCTCATGTGATTATGAAAGCTGAGAAATCTCACGACAGCTCATCTGTATGCTGGAGACCCTGGGATGCTGGTAGGATGGCTCAGTTTAAGTCTGAAAGTGTCAGAACTAGGGAAGTCGACTGTGTAAATCTCAGTCTAGAGCAAAAGGCCTGAGAAGTCAGGGCTTCCAGGTACAAGTCCCGAAGTTCAAAGGCCGAAGAGCCAGGAGTTCTGATGTCCAAGGTCAGAAGAAGAAGAGTGTCTCAGCTCCAGAGAGAGAATAATTTGGCTTTCCTCTGCCTTTTTGTGATATTGGGCTCCCAGTCAATTGGAGGGGAGAATTTCCCACTGACTCACATGCCAATCTCTTCTGGAAACACATTCACAGACACACCCAGAAATAATGTTGTACCAGTTGTCTAGGTATTACTTAGTCCAGTTGAGATGACTCCTGAAATTAACCAGCACATGGATTTACTTCCAGGATCCACTATTCTAATCTCCAAATGTGGTCTGGTGATTCCGAGGGAGAACTCTGATACACTGTTATGGAGTTTCCAAGGTTAATACTATTGGCATCATCATCATCATCACCATAAAACATTTGTTGTTTTAGATTTCTTCCTCTCGGTAGGGTACAGTAAGGTTTTTTTGGAGCCTATAAAACTATGATATATGAATTGATTTAATACAAAAGCAGACATGGGAATACAAACATCTTCTATTAAGTCAGACATTAAATTTGGAAAAAGTTAATCAATGTTACACTTTTTTTGTTCTTTTTTTGCACACAACAGTTGATTTTTTCATAAAGCATCTTATATTAACTTGTAATTGGTTCATTCATGCTATTTTAACATGAATTAGTAAATAACATATTAACATTTTCTGTTTCAATCTCAAATGCCATAAATATTAACAAATATCAACCCAAATAAACAAAAGCTCCTCAAGGCCCTAAACAGTTATTAATTGTCTAAAGACATAAGTAGCCCAGGTTTGAAGTCACTGGTACCCCCACTGAACCGGAACGCTGAGGTAGATCTGGTCCAGTACTGCCCCGTTCGACCAGGACCTCAAATCTCAACCACACTCGAGGACAGAGTACTGACTCCTTGTTTACTGCAGGGGCACCTGAGCCCAACCACACCCACATGTCCATGTTCTTCATTCATCTTCATCCCAGGTCCAGGCCTGTGGGTGTGTGCTCTGGAAATCCTGGGGCTAGATGGAAATGAACCATTGTCTCCTGGGAACCCTCAGCTGTTATGGTAGGACTCAGCCACCCTCATAACCTTGGTCCCTCCCAGCTCTCTGGTTCCACTTCCTCTATCTCTGACCTGTATATCTGGTTCCTTCTCCCCTCCGGTGGTCGTGTGGATTCCTCTCTTCTCTCACATCCTGGTGAACTCTGTTAGCTTCATTCCAAGTCCACAGCATCTGGTGCCAACTGGCATACTGGGCTCAATGTCATCACCCTGATGCTAAATAGCAGGTTCACTGCCAATCAGCTTCTCACACTTTCTTCTTGGCTGGGAGCTGTGTAACAACTAGTTCCCTATGCCTGGATCCCGTTCCACAGTAACAAGCAAATGAACTGCTAAAGCCATAGCCTAGTGAGGAGGTGAACAGGGGCTGAGGTCTGAAGGGGATGTGAAACAGGCAGCTGGAAGATGTTCTCTTATGTGACTAGAGCGGGGAGGGCATGTCTTCCACCAGGGGCGTTGTGCGGTGGCTGCTGAGATGGCCAGGGCTTGTCTACATGGCTGTGAGACCAGGGAATTGATCCTGTGGGCTGCGGTGGGTCCCTGCCCTGTGAAGTGTCAGGCCCTCTTCAGGCACCGTGACCCCATCGGCTCTTGAGAGGGTGGGGCAGATTAAGATGGGGCTGTCATAAGACCCTAACCTGAAGAAGGGCCTCACAGGCACAGAAAAGACTGAACGGAGGCACGTGTAGATGTGTGATCTGTTCCCCATGTTGTAGAAGGAGACGTCTCCAGCTTCATAGTCCAGGAAGACGCCTACCCGGCAAAGGGACTCCTCCATAGAGAGAATCCACTTAGGTGTGGTCAGGGCCCAGTATTCGCTTTCACACATCTCCAAGGTCCAGAAGCCATTCTGAGGAAGCAGCAGGACCTCCCCTTTCCTCTCTACACTGTCTCTACACACCCCGACCATCCACACCATCACGTTTTCCACCTCCACCTCCCAGTAATGTTTCCCGAAGGCGAGCTCTCCCGGCCCAGGACACAGGGCTGACTGTCGAATCTCTCTGGGTTGTCCTGTACGCTCTCCCTGGAGGGGTCCCGCCTCACACTTCTCGGGTCTTCTGAGAGGAAGAGCTCAGGATGAGCAGTGTCTGGGTCCAGGAACACATCAGCTACAGAGGAAGTCTCGGGTTTAGGCCTGGGGTCTCAGGAACCCTGGGGATTGTGTGGTTCCTGGTTCCCAAAGAGGCCTCAGAAAGCTGCAGGGGGATCCCATGTGGGGCCATTTCCATGAAGGCCCCCTGGTCCTAGGCAGCTCACACCCTAAGAATTACTGAAGCTGCACTTTTTTTTTTTTTTTTGAGATGGAGTTTAGCTCTTGTTGCCCAGGCTGGAGCACAATTGTACAATCTTGGCTCATTGCAACCTCCACCTCCTGGGTTCAAGCGACTCTCCTACCTCAGCCTTCTGAGTAGCTGGGATTACAGGCATGCACCACCATGCCCAGCTAATTTTGTATTTTTAGTAGAAACAGGGTTTCTCCATGTTGGTCAGGCTGGTCTTGAACTCCCGGCCCCAGGTGATCCACCCATCTCAGCCTCCCAAAGGGCTGGGATTACAGGTGTGAGCCACCATACCTGGCCTCTGAAGATGCACTTCTATCACTCCAAAGACAGAAGCAGCACTCTTAGGCTGAGAAAAATTGAGCCTCTATGAAATCCAGAGAGTTTATGGAATGAGCCCAAATTAATCATTCACATTTTCTCTCAGTATTCTAAGATCTATTCCCTTTTCTATTCAAGACCTATGATCTCTGGGACTTTCTTTACTTAGAAACTTTCCAACCTGGCTCAAACCAGTACAGTGAGTTTATGTCCCGCTCCTTCTCTCCTCAATGGATCAACTAAGGTGGGTCTTTCCCTTCACACTGTCCTGGAGGGTAAAGTGTCTCTTCATTGGTCCTATGTGTTCCTTTTACCAGAAGACAACTGATTTAGATGACTGACAACGTACCCTTCAAGGATAAAGAAGGAGAATAAATGTCCCCCCAAAAAACCTGCTGCCTGTGGGGTCTGTAGGCAAAGGTAAGGAGAAAGTATTTCCATCCAGTTTTGCTTCAACAACACGGGTCTGATATCTGAAGATATGACTTCCATGTATCTACTGGATCAACAAACTCCAAGAGGAAAAAAAGATGCTGTCAGAGGAAAAAAAGATGCTGTCAGGGGAAAAGCGGTTTGAACAGGAAAGGAAAGAAACTGGGATAAAGGAACTGGGGAAAGAATGTATACGTAGGTATAAGAAATGTATGTACCGCCTTTTTGCCCGTGGACGCCGCCGAAGAAGCATCGTTAAAGTCTGTCTTCTCCCTGCGATCATGTCTAAGTCAGAGTCTCCTAAAGAGCCGGAACAGCTGAGGAAGCTCTTCATTGGAGGGTTGAGCTTTGAAACAACCGATGAGAGCCTGAGGAGCCATTTTGAGCAATGGGGAATG